TATATATAAGATACAGAGACGGATAATGATGTGTGTGTGTGTGCGTATGTGCGTGTGTATGTAGAATGAATCCATAGAGATATTGGTGATCATATACATTCTATTTCAGGAAAACTCCCCTTTTCTGCTTGATATTTGGGCACAAATTGTATTTCGTTTGGTTTTTACTCTTTTTTGTGTTTACTACTATTGACTTATTCGATCGAATGGATTTCTACTAGGGGAATCTTTTGTTTATGCCGCCACTATTATTCATAACATTCACTTTGTTGCTCTTTTTGTTTTGTTCTTAGTACATGCTCGAAACTTCACATGCGTACAATATATAATTTTAAAAAAGATGTTACATAAATCTGTGTGTTATCTTTTTGAATCTTTTTCGAATCAAATTTGAGCTTACAAAAATAATATAGAAAACAAAGTTGACTTTTTTATAATGCATTCTAATTTTTGGTTCAGACCTCTTTGCTGTTTATTGATTGGTAAGTTTAAACCACACTTCGATCATAGTTGATTGACCGACCCATCATTGAAATTCTTCCGCTCGCTTTATGCCTCTATCTACTTTTGTGGTATAAAATCGAAAGTCGTTGCCCCGCTTATCTTGCCAGATGCGCTTCGATGAAAGTGAACATTCTGCCACTTGTTGTCGCGCCTGTGCCAGACGCGAGTCTCCTCCGACTGATGAGTGTGTGCATGTCCTTGCCTGAAATATTAAGAGTTATTATTAACGCTAGAGCTCGAGGGTCCTAAACGCTCCACGTTCCAGGTCCAGGTCAAGAGCAGGACCTAAATTACGAAAGGTCCAAAAGTAAGGTGATCATCCGAGTTAATCGCCCCTTTGATGTACCGGGGTTGGGAATGGAGCGTGTATAAGTATTACGATTAATACAAATTTTTCCCGGTCTCAACAAGGAGCAGCTCGTTTTATTCGAGCTTGGACTATTCTACGCGGACGGGCGAATTTACACCCGCTAGATAGAGGAAGTATGCCCTGCTCCATCTGGACAGCAGCAGAGTGCTGACAATAGAAACAAATGTTTATACAACAAGTAAGAAAGCTCTAGTCGAGACTGCTCGACTACGAGATCCCCTGAACCCTTGGAGTGCTAGCTATTTCAAGAATTTTTCGCGTCTTTCAGCTTACACAAGAAACACACACACATACCACATACACACACAAGCACCCACGCATAAACACGCATGGGCTGCAGTGTGCGCTTACTATGAGAACTTAATTGTTTAATAACTTTTTTTGTGGACGTACGATCTTCATGAAACTTTAAGATTATGATTATAACATGAATATGCATGTAATTGCCAAAGCACAAGTCTCTAGTATTTGAAATACGC